GGCCATAGAGGAGTTTTGCCCAAATTGGCCCATTTTAAGGTGATTGGCCTCCACCCCACAGATTCCCCAAGCGTGGCGGGCGGGGGATTTCTGGGAGTTGAAATCCACTCATCTTAAAGTGGCCAAGTTTGGACAACACTGCCCTAGAGCATCCCACGTGAAACCTGACTAGAGTGGGTCCAGAAGATTATTGGTAGAAAGCTGAAGGGAGAACTGAGAGAAAGCTCTTCTTTCAAGAATTTTGAAAAAGGAAGGAGAGATACTGGGCAGAAGTTGGAATAAACAGAAGGATCAAGGGAACAGTCTTTAAACAAAGGGCGTACATAAGTATGTTTCCAAGGCTTGTGGAAAAGATCGATGGAAACAGAACAAACTTTTAACAAAAGATAGAAGAGTACGGAGGGAAGGTGAATCAAGGAAGCAAGAAAAAGGATCAGAATCACTGGTAGTGTAAGGAGTCTCAGGGTTCACTTTGGCTATCACCTCTTCCGAACCTGGAGAGAAGGAAAACTCCAACATTAAGTAACTAGAATTACCACATTCAAGAACACTAGAAACCAACATTGAAACTGAAACTTGAATCAGCTTCATTTTCGATACAGAATAATTACCCAATAATCAGCTTTAAGCAGAGGAACGTTCCTTAGCAGTGGTCAGTAAAGGTGGAGATAGAAGCAATCAAAACACAACAGATAACTGTTTGGGAAACTTTGCTTGAGTGGATATTAAATTTTGATAGCAATATTGTTTTGCCTGCTCCAATAAAATATAGAGACACAGCGGAGTCCGTGGGAGGAGGGCAACTGTGTCAAAATGGCAGGTGCGACTGGATGATCAAAGCCCTATTCCTTTTTATGTGTATATAATTTGTGCAGCACACATTAAAAAGAGATTGCCTGTCATGCTTGCCATTTTGAAGCTCTTGACAGTCTCTGCAGACACCGCCCCCCCCCCAAAAAGGGCATGTTGGAAAGATTCCCACTTGTCATTATAAGGGTGTTTCCCATAATCTTCCAATTTCTGAACTTGACTATGAATTTTGCACAACTTATTAACTGGGATCTTTCTATGGGGTTATTTTTCTTCTTCTGTTGGAGTTATTGGTGGGTTGGAAAGAGTAAAAATCCTTGTAGCAAAGAAGCAGTTTGATTGCAATGGTTAAGGCCAACTATTCCATCTCTTTACACCATCATTTCTACATAATAGAGTGATAGTTATTGGCCATTCTGGTGACACTCTATGAATGATGATGATGCTTCTTTAAAGCCAATTTTCAGAAACAGAATGAGTTCATACTTGTTTTGCCCTGGGTTCTGTGAAAAATATGTTCCAAATCACTCTGCCTCAGTTTGTGTCCTGGGCTTCAGCCAAATGCCTTGCACACTCCTTTTATCTGTCCACTAATCTATTGAGACTACCCATTTACTGTCCCCACATCAGCCATATTTTTTCCTCCCCCCACCCTCTCTGTGCTGCGGACTCCCAAAAGTTAAAACCTTCCTTTTATGCTTTTAAGTTAAGTGCCCTCTTTGGCACACAAAGGCACTACCGACCTCCCTATGCTTCCCATCAAACCCACTTAAGCTTTTGAGGGACACGTGATGCTGCTTCCATCCCATCCCCATCCCACTGCTGAAGCAGCCAAGAGCTCTCGTAGCTGTTCCAAATTGGAAGTGTTTTTCTTCTTTGCCTGACATAAAAGATGAACAATCTAGGTTGCTCTGGGGACAAGCTTGGTGATGCAGTTAGCAACTGCGATCTCCTTAGCTTTAGTTGGCCTGGCAAGTTGCTGTGCTTCCATGGCCATTCTGAATTTGGCCATGGAAGACCAGACACCTGGTTTTTTTCTTGTTACACTATCAAACTTCCAGTACATTGATAGATCTGTCAGCCAGGAATCCTGTTATTTGGCGTGGGTGTATGCTTTACGTGCTTGTGTCCAATCTAAAATCTTTAACTGGTACACTATTCCACAGCCAGACTTTCTTTGGAAGTCAACATCTTCTCCCACCCCGATTCCATGTGAGGGATCCAAAGGAAACACACGCCGAGAAGGCCAGAGCAGAGAGCTCTCAGTGCCTCTGGTTGTCTTTCCCCTTCTTCCTTCTGAATAGTTTTTGATTGGGCAAGGAACCTCATCTCTCTCCCACCCATCCCCATTCCACAATTGTATATATGTGTGTATGCATTTCTGTATTTTATGATCTCCCCAGCACACATACAAATACGTAACACTTTTATCTCTATTTGTTTAGGGATTTTTTCCTCAAACTGGATACTCCAAGATCCTGGCAACTTTTTAATTTAAAAATTACTCAGTTGTCTTTATTTATTACAGCATTCATATTTTGTTTGAAATATCCCTGAAATCATCCTTTCTTGTAAGATGATGTTTTTACTGTAATATTCGATCCCCCCCTCCCTCTCTCAAACACACACACAAGGCTGCAGATTAGAAATGTACAAAGCTTCTCATTTAAATGAGGAAACAGAATTATGTCATGTGGATATAGTTTTTTATTATTTCAGATATAACTGAACTGATGAAATGTACATTAAAGAGAAAATGAAATATGTGAAATATTAACCACTCTGCATGGCAGAGAATCTATATGAAGAATTTTTAGCTGGTGCAGTTCAATACTAGTTTAACTATATTTTGAAGTATGTGCTTGTACATATATGTATGTTTTGTAGGTGCAAGTGTTTGTATGTATTTCATTCCTGTTCCCCTAAACCAATTCATTAATACAGAAAGCAATTTATCACTTCAATGACTGTGAAAGACAGGCTACATACTTGGATAAGGGCCTAGGAATCAATTGTGCCCAGGGCCACACCTTCTGAGACTTACATCTTTGGAATACGTTCAATTTCACCTCAGCACTTGATAGTCCTGCCAAGTGGAGATACGCCAGCTCCGACCACAGTCCACAGCCACTTCCTCCAATTACTTTTAGCAGTCCACTTTTACATTTATGCATTAAGTGGCAGTCTTTGTGGTTCGTGAAAGGTAGTTTCTGCAGAATTATTTATGCACTGCTAACATCTGATGGTTAAATGCATTGATTAAATTCTAATTTCCAGTTTCATGTGAAAGTCCCATTCATATTCTATTACTATATATTACTCAAAATTATTCTGCAAACACCAGACCCAAGTGATAAGTATCCTAATTTTTTTTTTTAAAAAAGAAAGGAAAATAAAGAGAAAACTAAGAGAATGAAAAGATAAAAAGAAAGGAAAATAATTTCCATAGACTTAGTAAAAGTTACTTACATACAACACTACTTAGGCTAATAGACTTGTCAACAGATAGCAGTTGGCCATCTTCTGGCTTACTGATTCTGCAAAAACAGTTCAATCTTAGTAATTGCCTTTACTTAATAGCCCTTAGGAGGGCTGGGTTGATTTGAACTCTGAATATTTCTAAGAAGTCTTTAACCCAGCATCAAGAGTTTACCCAATGTGTTCTTTCCCAGACTGCTTGGGGATTCTGGCATTTGTAGATCAGGAAAGAACGGCATCTACAATACTAGCTGACTGCTTGAGAAAGTGTATTTCTGAAATAATACATATAGACCAAACAGGTTACATTCCCAAGAGGAAAATGAAGGACAACACAGGATTTATAACAAATGCATCAGAATATACCCTCAACAAAAAAGAAGGCAGTAGTAATATTTTTCAGATGCAGAAACGGCCTTTGACAACTTGGGGTGGCCTTTCTTATTAGCAGTTTTAAACAAAGTGAATCCAGGAGAAGAATTTAAAACTTGGATGGAGAGCATATACCAATAGCAAACAGCAAAGATCACAACAAAATGGAACCCTCTCCCATATGTTTTCCAATAAGCAAAGGCACCAGGGAAGGGTGTCCACATTCCTCTCTCATTATTTATAATGGCTTTAGAAGTTTTAGAGGACAAGATTCAGCTAGACCACTGTTTCTCAACCTTGGCCATTTTAAGATGTGTGGACTT